ACATATAATATTTTATTATTAATTTCATATACCAAATGACCTTGGTCATTTGAAAAACAGCAAATGACATTGTAATTTGTCAACATATATGATGATAAATATGATTTCATATTAGTTATAGTTTAAAATCAAAGTGTTGCATTATTTACAATAAAACATTGCAACTTTTGCAACAAAATGTTGCAATTATTTCTTTAGAATAAATTGTGGTACACTTTTGTCCAGCATGGCATGCCATAGCTTCGCCCAATCAATAATGGATATCTTCCATTTTAATATAGATTATTATAATTAATGTAAGCTGCATAAAATAATAAAAATAATAAATTTAATGATTATAAACACTTGCTGGTAACTCTTGTAATTTTAAAGTGTTTTTTCGATATTTTTACAACCTAAATTATCATCACCATCAACTGCAGTGAGAAATGCCCTTAATCCTGGATCCACACCCACAATCAATCTATTCCTGTGGATTCTTTATTGAGTGAATATATGCCAGCCTTCATTCTGAAAGATCTTCATTCCTAGGTAACATTCTTTCTCAGTAGAGGGCAATTGTGGTTTTATAATGATTTCTAATATAATTATATTTTTAAAATTAAAAAAAATCAAGCCTGATGATTTTTATCAAACAGACATGAATGCTTTTTTCTTCTTTCAAACCTAAAATATATGAAATGGTGTTAATAAAACAATAATATTTTAAATACAATTCATGATAAAATAATTACAAATCTTTTTATTTAAATTAAATATTTGATCATAAAAATCTTCTTTCCATAATATATTTTTACATTTATCGGGAAATTATGTTCTTGATATGATTATTTCCTTGTCTTTGTCTTTTATTTTTTCTTAAACTTTCTTCAGGATTTTTATTTCAAGGAACACTTCTTTCATCAAAATCAGATACAGTATGATTTGATCAACTAGGAAATATCCAACTTGATATGAAGAAAGAGGAAGAATAAAGAACCTTTCTCATTGTCATTATTTTCATCAATCAATTCATACATACTCATCCCAAGTATCTAGTTAAATTTCTTTGATTTTTAGAAATATTTATTTCACTCAAATCAAATTCCTTTCAGGACAAGTGATCCATAAATCTTCTATGCATTGTGCTGGATCATTCATAAAATCTTGTGAATTAATAATGCTAATTGTGAATATAATTTTTTAAAGCTGAAACAATATTCATTTTTCAATCTCCAAATGTAGGTGTACCAGAACCCTCTTGTATATTTAAAGAAAAATAATTTTTATATCAGTCAAAACTTCATCTGTACACCATCCAAATCTCTGATTTGGTATAAATAATCTTCTTCTATATTCAATTCTATATTAGTTATAGTGGTATTCAAATATTTTCTCTAATTCTGGCTCAGAACGCCCGGGTTTACCTAATATTTATGATAAATATTCCGAGGGATTCTTCATTTTCACCCTCCTTTATTTTTTATACCAGTATATAATATGCAAATTTCCTAAATTGATCTTTGAACAAGTATTCTTCAACATAATGGCAAAATACAATCTTCAATAATAAATTAAACCTTTAAAAAATGCTCTTGACTCACACCTATAATCCTACTTGTAGTAATATAGTACACGAATAATATAATCTCAAGAATAATTGATAAAACATTGATTTTTAATCAATAGGGTTGTATCGGCCTTTGACATTTGTGTACAAAAAAATTTATAATTATTATTGTCAACGATTAATTTTTGGGGGAGAGAATTTAATCAATGACAATAAAAATAAAGGATCAAAACTGAATGGGGTATTTATTTACCAGCGCATAGCTTTGGATGTGGTTTAATTATTTTCAAGTCTCAAGAAAGAAAAGTTTTTGCTAAAATACATGGAACTCAACTTGTTTATTATATACTGTATTGGACATAATGTTACTACTTACTCAACTTTGTTGACCAATACAAATTAAATAGCGCACACGTTGAAATACATTGCAAAAAAATATTAAATTGTATCTAAGCACAGCAAGTGACTTGATGACGTGCGAGTTAAATAATCACAATTTTATGTTTAAAGTCATGGACACAAATAAAATGTATAATAAATAAATAAAATTCATGATTTTTTTTATCTTTTTATAACATACTGGATTTTTAAATGGCAATCTTGGAATGAATGGATATCTGCGGATCGCATCGCTAATAACAAGGAATTTACAATGAAAATAACAAGCAGAAGATGGCACTGCTGTTTGTTAATGGTAAATGTGAGTTTAATGATGAACAGTTTCAAAGGTAGTAACAGCATCATTAATTGGAATACATGGTGTTGGAATATTCTCCTTCTCGTTGGTTGGAATAAATGATGTTTATCCGTTGCCATCTCAACATCTACTTGTCATTCATTGGTTGATAATTTGTATGGGATCATCCAATCAAATAAAAAAAATAAAAAATTGGTCACATGAAATTGAATTTCCTTTACTATATTTATTACATATATAAAATTATGAGTCGTGGTAAGGAACTCTTTTTGAATTGTTAATGATTATACTAGCGCCAGCAAATTTGATCTTTTTATTGTTGAAAATCCTTAGGTTCATCAGCAGGTTACGATCGTCACATTACAATTTTTTCACCAGAAGGAAGACTTTATCAAGTTGGTATGATGTTGAAAAGTGTAAAAAAAAAATTGAAAAAAGAAACTAAATTTAACTGTATAGATGGCAATTATTGATTTCGAATGATTTTTTTTTATGTAAAATAGAATATGCCTTCAAAGCAATATCAAATTCTGGTATAACATCTGTAGGTGTTCGAGGAGATGACAGTGTAGTAATTGTAACACAAAAAAAAGTTCCTGTAAGTTATCAATCTACTTTTTTCTCTGGATATAAATATAAATATATTAATTTTAAAATAATTAAATAATTAATGAATGAATTAGGACAAGTTATTAGATCCATCAACTATTACACATGTTTTTCAACTAACACCATATGTTGGATGTGTTATGACAGGGTTGATCGGTAAATTTAGAATATTTAACATATTATTATTAATAATAAAAATGGTAAATTAGAATATTTAACATATTATCATTAATAATAAAAATTTCTTTATTTTAACGAATAAACTTAATTTATTATTGAAGCGGATGCACGTTCTCAAGTTACTCGTGCAAGACAAGAAGGTGCCGAATTTCGATACAAGTTTGGTTATGAGATCCCAACTGATATGCTTGCAAAACGTGTAGCCAATATCAACCAAGTATACACACAGCATGCTGCTATGAGACCATTGGGTGTTTGTATGTTATTGTTTATTAAATATTATTTTAAAAAAAAACTTTGAAATATACATTTTATAATAATATATATATATATATATATATATATATATATCAGCAATGATCTTGATCGGATACGATGACGAGAAAGGTCCACAACTTTTCAAATGCGATCCAGCTGGTTATTATGTTGGATACAAAGCTACTGCAGCTGGAGCTAAACAGCAAGAATCTTTAAATCATTTGGAGAAAAAACTTAAAAAAGATCCTAAGTTGAATTATGAAGAAACTATAGAAGTATGTTTACATTACACACACACACACACACACATATATATATATTACAGATAAATATTGTTATTATTATATATTCAAATTAATTAATTACTAATTATATATGTATATAATATATATTATAGTTAGCAATTACTACACTTTCTACAGTACTGTCTGCAGATTTTAAATCAACTGAAATTGAAGTTGGCGTTGTTACAAAAGATAATAAGGAATTTCGAACATTATCAGTTGATGAAATAGATAGTCATCTCCAACGTATTGTTGAAAAAGATTAAAATTTTTTTAATAATAATATTAACAATGATAATAAATAAAATGATAATATTGATATAGTCTAACTTTTATATTTTGATATAAATTCATCATGAAAACTTCCTTTATCTGATAATATGATGAAACTAGGAATACCATTCTTAACAATGTATTTGGGATGAGATAATGCCTCTTTTAGAATACATTTCTTTCCAATCTTAATTAATTTTGGTTTAGCATCCATTCCTCCACTATTTGATGGATCATATTCAAAATAAATTTGTAAATTATTTAATGATCTATATTTGCCATCAACGTCCCAGGGTGCAGGATTTTCAAAAATTACTTCTAAATGATCAAGAAATGTAGTATCTTCATTAAAAGCTGCAACAAAATCTGACTCTTTGTATTCTGGATATAAAAAAAAAACAGGCCATATTAATTGTTGTGATTCTGGATGAAGATGAACAGAATGTGGTGAGTCAGGAGCATTCGAAGTTGATTCCATTTGAATATCGCGAATCTTTTCAAAAATAATTAAAAGTATTATTATTTTGTAGTTGTTGCAGTTATCGATTGAAATACAAAAATAAAAAACCTTTATCGCCTTTTCCAATGCAATTTTTTCTTCTCTTTTTTTTAATTCCAATTCTAATTGTTTTCGTCGTTTCTCGTCCAAGACCTTCTTATGGTTTATACATTTTTCCTTCTCTTTTTGCATGGCAAGGTTATTTGGATCAATCTAATTTTTACTTTTGTTTATAAATCATTACACATACGTAAATGGCTAATAATATAAATGAATGATGAATGGCTAGCATGTACCAAAAGTGCATGATCACAACAATCCAAAGCCTCATCTAATTTATCAAGCATATATAAAGCTTTTGCAGATCGATAAAATGCTTTGATATTTTTAGTATTGATTTTTAATGCCTTCGCACAATCATTTAAAACTCTACGATAATTTTCTATAAACAGAATATATATATATATATATATATATATATTAGTATTTTACTAGCCCACCAATAATAATCAATTATTGTTTATACTAACGTAATTCCAAATTGACAGCAGCTCTATTAGTTAAACAAGCTTCAATTATTTTATTATCTTTGCAATCAGTATCCAATGCCTTAGTGTAAAAATTTATTGCATCTTGATAATGCGATTTGCCAGATTTGAAACATTCATTTCCTTGATTCTTAAAATTTTCTGCAATTTCTATTTCAACATTCAATAACGAGTATAAGGATGATTATGATGTTAAAGTAATCAATTATCTAATAAATAAATAAATATACACCTTCTGGTGGTCCATCATAAATCAAAGATTGTAAAGCTGATAAAGTAGAATTTTCTTCTCTTTCATCCTCAGGCAGTTCAGTCATAAATAATGGAACTTTGTTGATTTCTTTGAAAAGATTCTCATCTTTGATTTTACCTAAACCTTCCTTAAATCTTGGTCTTTCTGGCATGTTGGGCATCTTTGATAAAAAAAACAAATTTGTTTGAATAGATCATGTGATCTAACAAATATTTAATATATATAGTAATAGTGCAAAACATCTATAACGGTCAATGATGATACAGACAATCTTTCCAATAAAAGAAATTGGATTACTTAAATTAAAAAGATCTCCTAAAATTTTAAATTCCGGATTATGACATTTATAGATAACTTGAACCATATTAATATTAATTGAAATGGTCAAATTAAGAATAATTATTAAATATAAAACTAATTAAATCCTCTCTTTTTAAAAAACCTCTTTTACATATATATATATATATATATATAATACAATAACATAATGTCTAATTATAGCTCTTCATCAAAGAGAAAATTAGGAGATAGAACCCCTCAGGAATCTAGAAAAATACCCAAGCATACTGACTTTGTTTCATCAAATAGTCATGTTGTGGAAAGACATTATAACGAGAAACGAGAAGAAGGCAGAGAGAAAAGGATGGAATCAAAAATTTTACGTTTAAGAAATTTTAATAATTGGTTAAAAAGTGTATTGATAGGCAAACATATGGCAGCTGGAAATACTGTACTTGATATAGGTTGTGGAAAAGGAGGAGATCTGAATAAATGGGATAAAGCAGAAATTCATAAATATTATGGTTTTGGTGAGTTGTAAAATTAACAATAAACTTAATAGTTATTACATTATCTATATTTCCACTTAATTGACAAGTAAATGATAATTCATCTAAAAGATCTTGCACAGAAATCAATTGAAGATGCAAAAAAACGTTGGGAGGTGTTAAGTCAAAGTATTGGATTTTTGTTGTATTTCCTATGCATCATCATATATTTTTAAAATTGGACTGATTTCATAATGTTTCAATTGTTTAGGAGGATCCAAGATCAAACAAGCAGAATTTTATGTTTTAGATTGTTTTTCAGTAAATATTAAAAATTGATAAAGATAAATGATATTATTATCATAATAATTAATTTATTAAATTATATATTGATTTAATTAATTAATTATATTAGAAACCAATAACAGATATAATTTCAGATGAAATTAAATTCGATATTGTTAGCATGCAATTTTGTCTTCATTATTCATTTGAATCTGAAGAAAAAGTACGCATGGCCTTAAAAAATGTCACCTCTGGTTTGAAAAGAGGAGGTTACTTTATTGGAACAGTACCTAATGCCTATCGGATCGTGTAAGATTTCATATATTATTTATTAACATATTTATTTATCTAAATCTAATTATTAATCTAAATTTTTTTCACCACTAGAAAAATATTAAAAAGTTTGCCCGAGAATGAATTAGAATTTGGAAATTCAATATATTCGATTAAATTTGAACAAAAAGAATCATATCCATTATATGGGAACAAATATTGGTTTAATCTTGAAGAATCAATTGATGATTGCCCAGAATATTTGGTTTATTTTCCTGTATTTGAAAAGTAATTAAAAAATGGATTTCTCCTTGTTATAAATGTTTTAACAATACAAAAAATCAATTAATCATTAATAATATAATATAATTGTAGGTTGGCAAAAGAATATGGCCTCAAATTACTATATAAAAAAAGTTTTCATGATTTATATGAAGAAGAAAAAAAAAACGATAAATTTTATGACCTTTTATTTCAAATGCAAGTAATTGGGAAAAGACCAGATGATTCAAAAATGACAGATGATGAATGGGAGGCAATTGGTAATTTTAATAATTTAATAATTGATTGATGGATTTTTTAAAAAGTTTTTTAATTTAAACATTATTTAATCATTTCACTCGCAAATCCTCCAAAGGTATATATATAGGATTTGCATTTCAAAAAGTTCAATGATGATAATAATATTCAAATAATAGATGACTCTTATATATAATCTTATTTATTTTTCATGTTATATTATTTAATTGTTGCAGCAAATAAATTGATCATTAAAGTGTTCCAATAATCCAATAACAAGAACAATGTAAAAGAATTTTGATATAAAATAAATCTTGATTAATAAAAATAAAAAGAAATGAAACAATCCAATAGGAACATGAAAATAAGGTGCATATTTTTCAACAAACTAGTTAACATTAAAGGGAAAAAATTCATTCTTAAATTTTGATATATGTAATCACATTCTTTTTATGAAGCATATCAAACCATTATTAAAAGACAAAGTAAAAATACCATTAATGGTTAACAAAACATTATATGAATATATCGCAGAACCATTTAAATTTATTATAAACCTTGTATCTTTTCCTCCTTTTCCTCTAAATTATAATATATTTTTTTTTGCCTCAAAGGATCAAATATATTCATATACATAAGACAGTTACGCCTGAAACTTGGACATTTACTACAACCTAATAATTTTTTTATAATATTATAAAAATAAACATTTGATCATAAACATAACAATTTCGAATATTAATATATTAATTGTATATCCAGCAGTCGTCTTCCTTGTTATGTATAAGATTTCAATTCTTTTGGAGCTTTCAGTTTTTTGGGTCTTCGCTGGATTAGCTGGTGATGATTGAGCAGTTGGAGCAAACAACGTAGTTACAGGGGCTACTTGTTCAACCAAAGGAATTTGTAAGCTCGTCAATTGTTTTGTAAAATCAACTGTTATACTCGCTTGATATGATGACAATTATTCTGAAATTTTGTCCATGACGACGATTAACAGTTTGGAAAGAGATGAAGCTGAATCACCAGCTTAACATGACCAAAAACACCACATCCCAAAAGTGAGGAACCACCCAATCTGTCAGCTAGTTTTCCTATTCAATTGTAAATCAATCAAATTTAATTAATCAAATAATTCGTGTATAAATAAAGCAAAAAAATGAAAAATTTTAAAAATTGTTTGTATCAATTCGAGTTCTAGCTAAGACACCATGAATATCAGAAGTGGCTAAAAAAGCGTTTTGTCAAGAGTAAGAAGAACCTTCCAACAATGTTCTATAATTGTATGAGCATCGAAGATAAACCTAGCAAACTTGACTGGTCATAATATTAAACCAACTGAATTTCTTTGTGTAATTTTAATGTTCCTTATTACGCGAGAAAATTAATCAAATAATATTAATATTGGTAAAAAATTTAACAAAAGATGGCGAATCTTTTTAGTCTCTTAACAAATCATTCTCAGTTGACAACGATAACTAAAATGGACAAGTCAATCGGCCAATATGTAATAATAATAATTGTGTTTACAACTTTAGTGTAAATTTCTTCAATTAATGAGCAATAGTAAACTAATACTAATAAAGACAATCCCTGATTAATTAATTAATTAATAAACAAGTTGATGGTGGGTTGCTATTAGTTAAAAAACGGATCAAAGACTGGCTTATCAAATACAATAATTACTGATGATAATAACGATGAGAATGAATTGAAAGAAGGATTAATTTTTAACTCTAAATTTCTTTTTAAAACAAAAATTCGTATTAAAAAGTCTCAACATTGGGGGCAAAGACTTCTTGGTTGAGGGTGAAGCTATTGTTGGTGAGCCTGGAATTAGAATTTCATCGATTATTTCTGGAACAGTATGTAGGTTATGAAGAATTTTCACTTTGGAGTTGTATTAAGGAATAATGGAACAGTAGAAAATGCAGTTTCGGTTCGGTTTACATTTGAACCAAAAATTTCAAGTATCCTAAATTCGTTAACTATGCAAAAATAAACATAACATAATAACTTATAATGACTTGTGGCTGAATGTGTGTTGCAAAGTAAAAATGCTGGAAGGATCCTGTTTCTATATACATGAAGTTATAAAGGATTTTAGACATTTAAAAATCCGTTATAATAACAATAATAATAATACTATTGCAACCACCACATTCGTTTGCCAGATGTTTTTCAAGTTCCCATGGGTAACCTACATCAAAAAATTTGGAACAATAGTGACACCTTTGCAGAATAGTGTCCTTTGCTATTTTTAACCTCATTTCCTTTCACAAAGTGTATCCAAACACTCGAAGGAGATCGTCCAGTAATTCATGAATTTCCGAGACATGATGTTTAGAATTATGTAATTATGCAATTCAAATAATATAATTAAATAATTAATCTCAATTTTTTAATTCAAATCATGGAACTTTTTTTATATTAATACATAGATGTACCACTGTCAGCGGTCAAAGTAAAATTTATTAAAAAGAAATTGTACTACAGTATTTTTTCAGTTTAGGCTTCGATTGAGATTGAGATTTTGACTTTCGGTTTTTGAACCGAAACCGAAAATTTTACCGAAAGTGTTTCAGTAGCTTGACATATTTTCAGTGAACATCCCTATTGTGAACCAAAAAAATCGCAAAAAACATTGCATTCGAATTCGAGGGTCGAGACACATAGTGCCGAAATAGCGTTCTATGTATGATCTGGCTTTACACGTTACATTCAAATGCGAGGTATCTAGATATTCGTTCAAAACATCAACATTAGCCAGTCATATTGTTATTATATCAATAATTGCAAATAACTCGGTGTCTGTCAATTAATTATTTACAGAAAGAAACATTATCAGCAAAGATAGTATACCTTAAAATGGTTGGTGCGCCTAGAGTATCATCCACAGGGCCCGATTCTATACTAGAAATAAGCATTGAGATTTCAGACTTTGAGCCTATTAGCATATAGCTTTGCCTGAGACAATGCCAAAGCAATAATGGAATCATCAACATCAATAATGCCATTAGATGCTGCATTCTACAAAAAATACTATTTTTTTCTTCTATATTCAATTTCATTGAAAAAGAATTTAACTGATCATCTTTATCTGTAATAATGGATCTTAATTGTGAAATTTAGTAATAGGTAAATTTCCTTCAAATCTCATTGATAAATAATACGAATTAATAAAGAAATACTTTCAGATATAGAGAGCCTATTATTATCAATATTTCTTTTTAATCTCTTTGACAACCCTGTAGCATGTTCTTTGGAGATATCTCGTGATTCGCCACAATTTCATTATAATAATCTTTATATATATACTCACCCTTATGATAGTTATAATATGAGGCTAGAATTCCATTAATTTTCCATTCAGGTACTGATTTACTTTCACATAATTTTGACTAATTTTATAGTAAACAAAAGGAAAATGTCACAAATCTCTGACAAACAGTGTATAATTAAGATCTTTTCTAAGAAAAAAAACTCAAGATACGCAGCCTACCCAACATTGCACAACGCATTGTTACATTGCTACATCTTGATTTTTTATATTTAATTTTAACATTAAAAATTTAAAAATAAAATATATATATAAAAATTCAATTTGAAAATTACATTTTTTATTAATTACATAATATATAATCATAAGTGAACAGGAGAGACCCGTTCTGGTAGCAAAAAATTTTAACCCATGCAATTATTGATTGACCAATTTACCAATCAAAATTGTGAATTTGATAATGTAAAAATAAATGTTGGTTTGATTCATTTCGTCAACAATCACTTCACCAACAATTGTTTTGTTAACAAATGGTTTGAATTTAAGAAGTTGGAAGCAACCATGTGACAAACCTTTGAAATAGTCCAATAAATTAAATTGTACTACTCGAAAATGTATTTAAAGTGTTGGTTTTCGACTTGGTTGAAAGAATAACTCTCTTCTCTCGACCATATCTCTCGATATAATCAAAATAACCTTAATATAATGAATGTCGATGAAATGATTATAAACACAACCAATATTTAAGATATACAATTAAGACAAAACATGAACGATATATGAAAAAATCAAACAAATTTATTTAAAAACAAAATTTACAACCAAAAAAATGTTTTTTTTGCATGTTCTAATAAAATTTCCATTGTTGCATCATTTATTGCTGATTCAACGTTACCCAGATCACCATCAACTGTATTTTCGATATTTTCGATAAATTCATTTTCATTTAATCTTTTCGTCGTACTTTCTTTTAGTGCATTGACATTTTTTTTGAAGATAGTCCAAGATATCAAACATTTAGATCGGCACCTTTGTAAACAATGATTGTAACAACCATGTCCACACATGAGTATACACACTACAATTATTTAAATTAGTATAGTTGGTGTAATCACAATATACGTAATTGCAAAAAATGTTTGTTGATGGTTTCCTAGAAGTAACAAAGCCTCTTGGAAGGTGACGATCGGTTATTTCGTAAACTAAAAAACGCAATTAACACCATTAGATGAAGTTTTAGTAATCAAAGGATACTGATTTCATGCTTGATATAGTGGTAGTACCTACCGAATCTAAATAGAATGCAAGGACGAACTTAAAGAGTTAATTTTTGCATTATTTAATGAAGCAAGGAAATAATAACATATGAACACCACTAATCCTTTCATATGGTCCATTTTTTGTTCATTACGTTCAAATGGCCGAGCTGTTAAATAGAGTTGGTCAAAAAACCCCTTCAAGCTTGGTTCTATTTTTTGGAGCAATCTTCGTATTTCATCAAAATCGTATATAGGAACTTCTTTATTTGAACATTCTCTTTCATATAAGGTTTGGTCATCATCTTCATGTTTGTTTTATCAACGTTTTCAGTTGTTGTTTTTTTGGCCTTATTTCATGTTTGTTTATTAACGTTTTCAGTTGAAACCTTTTTATCGTTTATATTAGTAACGGCAACATCTAATCATTATAATCAGGATCTATTACCATTTCTACCTGTTGCTTCCGTTGTTGCTGCTGATAAATGGAGGAAGATAACATCAAACGTGTTTGTGAAGAGAAAATTGACAAAGAAGAAGATAATGCTGAAGATATCTATGGAGAATTTATTGTGGTTGATGATGATGATGATGATGATAAACTGTGAAATAATCTTGATTCTATACTCTTCAGCATTTTAGTGATGAAGACAACTTTGTGCTGTTGGATGATGATGATGATGATGATGATAAATTCCTTGGATTTAAGAATGCCCATTTGCAATAATACCTTCTCGCTTCTCACCAACATACAAACCTTCAGAATCGTGAAACGTCATATTTTTGCTCGTGTAATCTGCTACTGATATCTCCACGTCTTTTTTATCCTTGTCTTCTTTCGAAAAGCATTGTACACTTGGCATGAAATCTTTAAACATCATCTATCTTGATAACTTCATAACCTCTTCGGAAATATCGTTGCCAACAGCAAGGACTCTTCAGACTCCTTCAGATCATTGATGTGTATGTCGAGTTTGATTGCTTGGTGAACTACTAACTAAGATAATATGAGAAAGGATATAATTAATTCATTGAAATATAATAATTAATGATTGACTACTTGCAGCAAAAAACCTACTTTAATTTTTGCATCAAAAAAAAGATCCCACGAGCGAATATACACAACCTTTAATTATAAAACATCTTGAATTCTAAATAACCGAATTACGCACGAAGATCATTAATTATATGAGTGACACTTGACCCCCTGTAGATCTGCAATGTCCTGCGACTGTTATTCAATTCCACAGGTTTTAACTTTGACGCAAGTTTAATTTTGACACAAGTTTTAACTTTGATGCAAGCTTTGAACTTTGTTTAGATTTTTATATAAATAGATAAAATATTTAGTTTACTTCGAAAAGCTTTCATAAAATTATATTTAAAAAAAAAAATCTTTTAAATAATATTATTACCGTATTCTCTGGAATATAAGCACCACTCTAATATAAGCACCAGTATGAATTTGCAATGAAAAAAAACAAAAAAATAGAAAAATAAATATAAGCACCACATATATTTCAAATTATTTTTTATTTGATTTTATTTTATATAATAAATAAAAAATAAGAAATTTTTTTATTTTGATTATTCTTTTTCAGAATCACCAGACTCCTCTTCTAATTCATCTAATTCATCAACTGAATCATGCTGTGGGAAGAAAAATAAATTAGAACTTAGCCACAAATGATAAAGGAAATATAAATGTAACACAAATTAACAGAAATAAAATCTCTTGAATATAAGCACCACCCACAATTTGTTGACCAAAACGCGTCAAAATGGTGGTGCTTATATTCCGGAGAATACGGTAATAAATTGTCATCTTAAAATGTCTAACTCAACTAATTCAATTTTACTTGATGTTGGTGCTATTGTGAGCGATTTACATTATGGTCCATTTGCATCATATTGGTGGTATAGCAAAAAAATCAGACTTACAAATACAACAAAACTTTATCCTATTAGATTGTATTTAAAAATACATCATATTAAGAAGGATACAGAATTTTTTACTTACATCACTAAAAATAATAAACCCGAATATTGACCCTTGCTGGTACTTCATTTGCCAAAATAATCCCAGATCGTAGTAAAAAAGTGCCAGTTGGTACCATTAAAGGAATTTCTAATTATTTTACTTTCATGTGGCTATCTGGTGACGAAGATGGATATATAGCAGCTTATGAAATACCTAATTATGGGAAATCAAAAAAATATTAAATTTTTGATATTAAAAAACTTCTGAAAATAAATATTAATCAACCAAACATTACAGTCATTAATCAAACAACACCACAATCAGAATGGAAAATGTTTGTTCCTTCAGAAGTTGACCCATCAAATCAAAAATTGTCTGTTCCTGAAATAAGGTTGAAGTTTCAAGAGAAAAATTTGGAAATAAATTAAAGATTAAATCAATATAGTTATCCCGATTCAGACAATAATTCTCTGTTACTAAATAATAATGATTTTGAAAAACCTCTTGGATGAAAAATTGAAACCTGGATTTGTTCTAAAGAGTAACCGAAAGTAGAAAGGTGGTAAGAAGTTTGATTTAACAATTAAAAAGCATGTTTTTAGCTGGTAATATAGAAAAAAGTAAAAAATACTCTCCCGAGGATATGTTAAAAGAACTTCAAAGGCTTGTTGAAACTGACGAATTAGAGCTGAAAATATTCCTTCTCTTCAACAAATTAAATCATGGATATCCTGATTTAGTCAACATCACAAAAGGCAGGCGGCTGAAAATGCATAATCTAATTAATAAGAAAAACATTTTTTTCTTTATTTTTGAAAGACAATAATAATAATAAATGAATACTACCGTTACACGGAACATGTAAAAATTTTTATATGAAAATTCTTAAAAATCAAAGAGTAACCTTTTTTTTCTACTTAAAAAAAACTGATAATATGTTCTTTGGGATTTGTTTTGTTTGTGGATATAGATGGGTGTCTAAACTAAATTATTTAGACAATGTCTAAAATATAAATTAATTTAGACATTTAGACAATCATGG